ATCATATTATTTTTTACCGCATTCAAACATAGATATTCTAGTTTTATTACAAATAAAATGTTTAATAACTTACATTTATTATCTATATTCATAAGATTTTTCTTAGTAAATAACTTTTAAGATGCTTTATTTTTGTGATCAATAACAAAATTTGTTCACCACCTCTGATGTTTTGGAGGTCCGTGCTTGCTTTGCTCCTATTTTATATTGTTTTATGAACTTTTGATCTTGAAAACTGGTTTGACATCTCCTATGTTTCACATAAAATGAAAAAAAACCCATAAATATTGATGAATGTATGTAAATTGATAGAAAATTTAGTGTGAAGGAAATGACTGAGTCTGAAAAGAGTCATGCAGCATTTGACTAGATGGTATACATCAAAAGCGATTTTGCTTAATGTATTGAATGAGTGATTGTCTGTTGTTTTACGTCTACAACCTAAAGTGATAAAATTTGTTTATTATACTTGCATTGGCTTGATTATAATTTATTTTATCAAGTAATGTATTGTTTAAACAAATATAAGCATTAAAAAATTATTTCGGCTTAAACTGAAAGTAAAATTTAACAGTAGGTCTAAAGAGAATTTAAAATTTTTACCGAGAATGTGGAACAAGCATAACGTATGCGTTTTATGTAAGAAGAGGAGGGAAACTAATAATGAGGTTAATGGCCTGAAATATCTACATGATATTCGTAAAAAGACAAATGATTACTACTCGGTTAATTTAAAATGTCAAACGATCGGTAATACTGTATACAGGGTTATTTTCGCCCCATGTTATTTTCACCCTTTTACACTTGCTTACAATCTTGCCCCGTTTTAATTTCGCCCAATAACAGTTCTGTTTAAGAAATTATGCTTTGTTCTTTGAATTCGCCCCGTTTTAAATTCGTCCACTTGTGACAAGGGTGAAAGGGGCGAAAATAAAACGGGGGCGAAAATTTCCCTGTATACAGTAATTACGTAACGTTTGCTTTTCCAAGAAAAAAAATACCGCATCTAGTCTACTTGCAGTTTATTAGTATTTCCTAGAAGTTGGCATTTTATCTAAAACTAAAAAAATGGAATTTCAAAGCCTAAAAGTCATTATTATAATAATCTTGAAAATATCATAATGACAAAGTCATCATTTCATACGTTCTATGGTCAATACAATGACCTTGTCAGCAAATACAATTTATCATTAAGTCAAATGCTGAAAAAACTGACGTTTTTTATATTTATACTCAATCAAAAGTTCCCTTTTGGACTAAGGAAGAAATTCTTCAAAATTATATGTCAGTTTCTTTCTAAAAACACCTCATCACTAAGATATTGACAGTAGTGAAGGAAAAACTTCAAGAGTATTGTGCAACAATATATTCAAGAAGTGGTATGAATCAGATGTAGATGCTCAAAAATTCCAAGCGTTCACGGTAGCCTAGGATACCACGGAGTCTAAAACATCTATTTCATACTTGGATATTTTGGTCAACTGCCTTTACTTATGCTGCAATATGACTTTTTTAACTTCAATACGGTGTTTATGTATCTCAGTTGATTCGATACGCAGGAGCAGCGTATGAACAATTTCTAAAACTCGGGTAAATTATTGACAAACAAGTTGATGAAACAACAATATCAACAGTCTCGGTCATTTTGTAAGTTCTATAGTCGATACAATGACACTGTCAGATAAATTTGTCATTGAGTCAAATGCTGACTAAAGTTTTTCATACTAATTATTAGTCCATTATTGATACACTGAATTGACGGCGATTTTTCCGTTATCTAATGATTTGCTCACTCCTCAATGGCACCTGATCCCACCTCTGATGTTTCGGAGGTCCGTGTTTGCTCTTCTCCCTGTTTTGTCTCCATTTGTTTCACTTAATTTTATATTTTCTTGCACCTTTTGATCAAGAGGTACCTAAAAAGATTGCTTTCTTTATAGAGAAAGGGCTAATTAAGGAGATAGGGCAATCATATAATTTAAATCAAAACCAAAAATATCTGTAAGCATCACTTGATAACTAACAATAGTATTTTGTTCCATGTAGTATATAAGTTCATTGCAATATGTTGATCTAGGGAGGAAAAACAGTTACTTAAGAATGAACAAACAAAACAGCATCGTTCTCCCATCGGAAAGATCTCGTTGTGTTATTCGCTTCCAACAACTGTCGTAGGAATGGGTTGTAGGTAGGACTTTGCATGCATTAGTTTGAAGTTACGCGTTAAAGTCCTGATGCACGTTTTTCATAACACGTAAAAATAGATCTTGACAAGGAGCACATAAAATTGTGACTGTTCCTTTTGCATTGTTTTATGGGCAAGCGCTGTACTTGAGAATGATATCTAAAATTTAACATTAGAAGTGAAAGTCAGTTTATATTTAAGTTATTATTAGAGATTTCTATGTATTTGAAGAGGATATAAAAACGGATGCGAAATCCAAGAGGTTGAATCAGGTGCTTAAATGGAGTAACCATCCTCTTAAACATTACTTTGTTTGTAATATAAGCACTCTAATCTTCGTGGCATTAAGAAGAATATCGGATATGACATTTTAACACAATACAAAGGAATAAAAAGGAATAGCTGAGATACAATTTGATGGTTAAAAATGTTTATGTTATGGTAGCAACACAACGGTCAACGAATGCTACTATTATTATCAGTAACAGTCCCGCAGATATTGTCAATGATGGCTACTTCGTTTGTTGATTCGCTGCAAATAAAGTATTCAGTTTAAATTAGCATTTCTACACTATCAGGAAGGTAAAAGTCGGTACAAAAAATAAAACTGATAAAACAACAAGAAAATAGCTTCAGAAAAGTATAAAGATGACCTCACTGCTCAAAGCTTAAAAATCTCCTCATAAAAAGCCCTTTTAAGTTTTAAACACAAGGTGTAGACATTTTAGTAAATCTCCGCTAAAATTTATAATATGTATCGATCTAAATTACCTACAAGCCCTTCAGCTGAGACATATAAAATCCGTATACAGGTGACAAAGGTTTATTGCTACATATGTAAGGGAAGTTGATGATTGTACGGTGAACCATCACGTTTATCATAGAGCTTTGTTGTTAGTATAATATATATTAATGTGTTGACACACAAAAACAACCAATGCTTTACAACTAGCTGTTGATATAAAATTCTAGAGAAAGCGAGAAAAATTAAGGGACGTTCACTTTTTTAAACAATATATCACTCTGAAAATCTTACTTATATATTTCCTGTTTGTATAAGAATCCATTTTAATCACCACTATTGCATTGTCTTTTTATGAATGTTCTCAAACCTGTTAAACAATTCTATTTTGTCCCCCAAATCACATGAACTTTAATCGGGTTGTGTTGGACAATATTTCATAACATTTGCATTCAAAAATACCAAAATTCTTTGAAAACATAAGGAGAAACTTTTGGACAAAATAAACAGAAGCAGATTATATAGTCGTTAAATCCCCCTTTCTTCATCTATGGTTGTTGTGTTTATGGTTAGGCAAAATCAACATGCTTTGATTTCTGACCGTTATTCCAAATTTAGTGACTTACTTTTATTTCATAAAGACAAAAAATTTTGTCACAAATCATTGTAAATATCCTTTACTGAACCTCAATTCACTGGACCTTAAAACCCGCCTGTCCGTGCAAGGTAGTTTGGACACGGCAGTCCAGAGAGGAGAAGGACGTTTCTCGACCCTCTCACATACAATTTTGTTTTGGTATCCAGCATTGATATTTTGCATGTACCGAGTGCAGGGCTTGCTCTGGTACGTTTATAATGTCATTTTAGTTATTTACAGTGTAAAGTATTATTCATTTTGTATTTATCTATTTTTAGCATGTATTTAATTTGATTTGTATATATTTAGTAACACGTATTTGACTATTTTAAAGTACGGTGTACAAATCCGTAAAGTAGCAATTCGTAATTTATCTGTGTAGGAGTTGTACGTATAATTTCAACTTCCCATGACTATGATTACATAGGTTCCAGCCATACGTCAAAGTTGGTTAAACAGTGAGGTTGCCCAGTGTATATCGCCCTTGGAGTGTAGTATATTCAGCCTGTGAAGTGGAAAGCAAGACGCGCAACTGGTCACCAGGACAACAGCAGCAATCACAATGACTTTGTACATTTTATCATAAATTATTAAATATGTAAATTGTAAGAACGAAACAAGAATTCGAGTTATATTTAAAATTTGTAAAAAGGTAAAAATGACAATATTTTCACTGAAATAAAGAGATAACAAACCTGCAGAAGTACACATTTTCCGAAGATTCACCGAAGTTGGAGAAGTTTGCAAAAGACTGATTGAGGATAAAACTTCCATATTCAAACTTTGTATTGTCTTGTATTTAGCAGGATCAACTTCAAGTTTAAAAAAAAATATATATAAAAATCCTAAGAAAATATGATTTTTGATATTAGACGAGAGCAATCCGGGTCTATAGCCTTTATTCTGTTGGGTTCGGTTTTGATAATACCCTTCGAAAATGCAACATGAAATATTTTTGAAGCTGAATTTGAAAAAATGATAACATCTTATACCTCAGAAAACCAATAATTAAAATAGCCAAAAAACTAGAAACATTGCTCTGCTAAATCTCTAAATGATTTTGAAAGTTCACAATTTGTTCATTTTTCTTTTTTCATTAGGAACATTTCTACCTGATCGAAGTAATCAATGGTAACAGAAATATAACTGAACAAGAGTAGCAGGTAGAGGAACATTTATCTCTGACAAACACAGGGGGAGTGTCATCAACGTTAGTAAAGTTTACATTCAGGATTGTAAACACGGTATGTGGACCGTCCTGAAGAAAGTAATGTCAAGAATTGTAAGTATTTTATTGCAATTTTCCATTCCCAAATGTTCTATTCGTCCCCCTAGAGAATTTTTCACTCATTTTCACTCGTGCTTACCTCAGCAGTGATATAAGGTTCCTCCACCTTTCCCCAAACCGCACTGGATTCTGGTGTCTTCGTTCAAAGTTCTTCATTTGATACAGAAATCCTGTTGTGGTGTTAACAGTAAAATACTCGCTAACATCTGTCTAGGTAAATCTAAAATGTTGTTTAAAATGCACTGTATGATTCTCTACACCTTTATATCATCAAACAAAAGAACCCAGAAGTATAAAGTTTCATTTAACAAAAAAATAATACTGTATGTTATAATGACTCTGATCATACGTGTTCCAACACTACATAAGTTGAGAAGCTAAAACAATAAAAAAAACAACATTTTATTGATTCTTTGAAGAATTAATGATTGCAGCATGTCATATTGGATTTGTAGAACCTAAAATCTGTGAAATCCCAATTTCACTGAATATAAGTCTACGGAATTATTATAATGAGATATGAAGAAAAAAATAACATCAAGCTCAAAAGGCAAATGAAACATGTACAGGAAAGGAACCTACATGTACAAGAGCCTCTTAAAGCATAAGAGACGGGATAGGAGTAAGCATCCCGTGTTTATCGTTTACTCCCGCCGTGTGCTGCTTGTTCTAATCAGGAAATCGGAAAAATCTGTAAACCATTCAGTGTGTAATTAAAGGCCAAGCAACAACCTGAATTAAACACTTCTGTAACTTTCAAACATTCAATACTTCTTACTCAGTCTTCAGTTCCTTTGTTTAAAAAAGCTAGCAGAAGACATAATTTCTCTCACCCCTGCAGTAGTCTTTGATATGCCGACTATAGGGGTGACCCTAGGACAGTCACGGTCTTGAAACAGATCCAGCATACGAGCAATGTAAATTGGAGTCGGTCCTTTGTCCTAAAATGCATAATATATTTCGAAAGTAATCACATAAAATTATCCAAATATCAGTTCCCGTGTACTAAATTTCAGGTAACGAACCTCCTGTATCCTGATAGTGTTATTTTTGACAGCAACTGGTGGATATTCGTTCACTGGATTGACGCTAAACATATATTTTCAAACCTAATGCAACAAAATGTAAATTTTTGAGAAATAACAATCGATGGAAGTAAAAATTTTCAATAAAGATAAAGAAATGTTGTTATTTCAGAGATAATCTTACTGGTGATCCATCATTATTTTTACACGACACCCTCTGTGTGAATTGCTAAATCACATATGAACAAATTAAAATATACATGATTGTATTTCTCTAACAAGATAAACACTCATTACTGGTAACTTCTGAATGGCTTCTATTTACAATAAAATTCAAGGAGATAAGAACAGTATTCAAACTCAGTCCAATCTCATTTCTTCAAAAATTCATATATTTTGCACCAATATAAGATTTTTTGTCGGACATCAATTATATTTAATAAATATTGGCATCTGCATGCATCGTGCATCAAATTTGGCAGTATGATATCAAGATGTCTGAACTAATATGTGGATACAAAATACTTGTAATGAGAGTAAGATTAAACCTAAGCATGTAAAACTTTACATGGTTGATTAATCTTTTGCACCTATATCTTGCACAATTGTATATAGCTCTATTGAGAAAATGGTATATGAAGAAAAGTTAGAAAACAAACATTAATCTAAAAAGTCCAATGCAGATTTGAAGCAGAGAAAACACTGAGCTCTAAAAACGTCAGAACTGGGATGAGATGCAAAGGAGAAGTAAGAATCCCCCAGTCACACCTGCTGTGTGCATCTTGTCATGATCAGGAATATAAAAATTATTTTAGAAACAATTTTGACGAAAGCACAATGTTGTGACAATTTGTTTGACAACGTCATTTGACATTCGACGACAGTTTTTTTTAACTTCAAAACGATATACATGCACAGTGTATTTTTTTTGAAAAAATTGAAAGACATGTGCATAGGTAAACATGTTCATTATCCCATCATGATTTTACATGTTATTAAAAAAAACAAATATTCCTGTTTGTAAAAATAAAATTCAATTCTATTTTCCATACGTTTGCAACATCCAGATCCACAGGTCTAATCAATCCTATTTGATAACTGTTGTTAATGAAATCTAACGAAACACGTGGGTTATCCTCGGTGATAGACCATTTCTGTGTTGACCTTGTGACGCAATTATATTAAATCCTATAAAAAGCAATATTGCGAATAATCTCTCCATCATGTGATCAAAATCGTAGTTATTTTTCCAGTTTTACACAAAACAACCACAGAAAAAAAAACACTTTAATTACTCCTGTATTTGTAAGAAATTTTTTGAGAAATGTTGTTTAAATCCTCTGTTGTTCTAGCTGCGTTTTATCACGGTTTCTTTGGACATGAAGAACCTGTCACCGTAAGAATCGATATCTTTTAGCTGGATAAGATTAATTCACCGAATTCGGCTAATTTCATCAAAACTGTTTTCTCTTGAGCTGAGTCTGAATACAAACGGGCATGATTGTTTAAGTTTCCTTGTTGTAAAACTCCCGTTAAATCGATCACAGCGGTAAAACCTCACATACCTGCATTTTTATCACCTGGATAGGTGAACTCCCCAATAAAATCTATCGTCAATTCTCAAACTGGCGAGGATAGCATGAACACTTCCTCTAATAGTAACATTTATAATTTCTTCTTTATCATATTTCAATATTTACATTCAATACGATTAAAGATGTAAAGCAATATTTTATTGAAGTGAAGAGTTTGGTGAACAGATTATCAAAAGGGTTTATTACATTGAAGTATTTGGCTTGACTTGACTTTTGACTCCTAACTAAATATTTTTATGTTCATAAACTGCAAGAGGTGTAAAGGGTCATTGCTATAATTCTCTGAAATGACAGATTTATTAAAAGGAATTGATATAGGATATTTAGAAAGAATATACTATGTTATTTCGTGTTCCCCTCTACTGATGACCCTCCTGTGCTCCCTTATCTCTCTAGACATGATAAATAAGGACCATACACAAAATGGCTTTTTAATATTTCTTAACAGAATATTATAGGAATATTAAGAACGGTCTGTCAAACTGCGTTGACGGCATTCAAAATGAACAAATATAAAAAGTTAAGTTATTGAAAGATTTTATTCCATGGGTTTAAAATGTTCGCAATTTAAAGTGGAATATTAGTTACTCGGTTTTTTTTTTCATGGATAAAGATGAGTTTTGCTACATTTCGTGGTTGGGCATGAGTTTGCTGGGCTTCTTTTTCCATTGGCTTTCGTTGCAAAATACAAATGGAATAAGAAGATTGCACTGAAATAATTTATTAAACAAAATATTAAATAATGGGTTTATCTCTTGTGACATGAAAATGATTCATGTATATACATTTTTTTAAGCCCGATTTTTTCTGGCGTAATCTGTAAATATTCTATAATTTAAAAAAAAAAACATCAAACTTTCTTGGGTCGTTTCCAGAATTTTGAAAAAAAAGTTGACCTTCCAGATATAAGCATCACATTGTTGATAGTACACATTCTTTAACTTTTCAATCGTCAAAATCAGTTTCTTAAAATTAAGTAAGGTATATTTTCACCTGATCATATGGGGTTTATATCTTTCAGTATCTTCAGCATGTTCTAGGTATTAATGATTTCTAAAACGAGGTAAGTTATAACAAAAGTATCAGCAGTCTCGTTTAATATCATCATTTCCTAAATTCTATGGTCGATACAATGGCAAAAACAATCTATAATTAGTTATTCATACTAATTGTTAGGCCATTATAATATCACTAAATTGTCGATGGATTTTTTCTTTATCATTGTTCGTGACAAGGAGCACACGGCGGGTGTGACCGGTCGACAGGGGATGCTCACTCCTCCATGGCACCTGATCCCACCTCTGATGTTTTAGAGGTCCTTGTTTGCTCTGAGCCTTATTTGTTTAGATGGACTTTTGAGCAGAATATTGTTGGTTATCTCCAACTTATTCTGCTGCAAACGTTAGGAATCTCTTATCGATTAATTTTATCTGTTCTTGTTGATTTAATAATCTGTAGTTTTCCTTAACAAGTGCACAGATGCACATTTTGTCTGGATACAAAACTATTTGCAAAACCAATAAATTGTTCTATAAATCTGCTACAATTAAAACGTAAATCTGTAAAGTATTTGTTTTTCCTTTATGAAAGACGAATGAGAATTTTTAGATTTGAGGTAAGGTTTAACGAACAGTTTTAAAGCAATAAATGATTAGAATGAATTACTCATGCATTGAAAATTTTGTAATTGAATTTTATTGATCAAGAATTGTCTCATGTAGCTTATATCAACATGAACGAAGCAGATAACAATTTTATAGGACCTTTAAATACTTTAATGCATAATTAAAGACTGTTTTTTATATACATAATATTCTGATACATTGAACATTTGTCATAAAATTGCTTAATTTAATAAGGCTGAAGCAAATTTGTGAATTTGACATTTTTACAATATGAAACGTTTTAGACATTAAGAGATATTAAAAATCTAGAAATGAAATAAAGTACTAGCTATCCAAAAATATAAATCTAAAGTTCTAATTCAATGTATAAATCAATTTTATTTTAAGATTGAGAAATACCAGATCATAAAGATGTCAAGTAGTTATAAAGTAGATGTCATATTAGGTGCAGAGTACACCGACCATTCAGTTGATTCTTTATCATACTTATAACCTATACAAAGATTAATATGATGACCGTGCAATCGTAGCATAGAATGATTTCCGATTATAGAGATATTTGTAAACTAAATTCAAAAATATATATACACGTAGAAGCTCCTGCAAACCTAAAAACTCATGAATTTAAAGTTTGTGGCTTTAAAAACAAATTTAAATTTAATAAGATGATTAGTTGAAAAAATACTTTCGACAACTCTTTATTGAGAAACATGAGAGCTAGACAATGCATAACTCTATAGTAAAAGTGCTAACTGACGTCTTTCAAACTTTTTGTAAGCTCTAAATTGCAGATATTAAAAAAGCGTGGATAATAGTTGTTCTGTTATCTATATCCATTTTCCACAGAATAGTAACATAAATGTATATCTCATTGTCAGATTTGCACATTTATCATGTATAAATAATGATTATTAATAGTGACATTAAATACGCAAATTTAATATGATTATATTCAATACCGTTATCACACCAAAAATTGATTTTCTTTAAAGTAAATGTATAACTAATTTCATGTTTTGTATTGCATATTTTCTTAACATAGAAATATTGAAATTTTGACATAAAAAGAAGTGATGATATTTGTCCATTTGAAATGGATTTGAATGTTGACCTCAAAAATAATAATGTTAGTTTGCAGAGATAAAGAAATTTTCAGTATCACAAACACATGTAAATGCATAAAAACTTAGATATGCACATATTTATTTTGCTGTCTTTTATCTTTTCTTCATAGCGATATTTAAAAGTGACTATTCTAAAAGTAACCCATAAGTTTCAAAATCAAATATACATACGTCTTCTTTATTTTGAACTTCCTTACTACAAGGAAGAGATAAAAATAATGGTCGGGCGTGGTTTGTAGATTGTAATTTGCCTTAAGACCATATTATTCATCACCTGCACACAAATGTATCTTAAATGCATCTTTGTGAAATTATCACATTATAGTTTGCTCATAAAAGTATTTCTTATCTAACTTCTATAGTTTAAATTGCATAACATATGTTTAAGCAAAAAGATATATGCTTCTGTACAATGTAAATGTTAAAGCAACTTTTCCGTTATTTCCCAATTATGACAAGGAGCACATGGCAGATGTGACAGGTCTGCGAGGATGCTCACTCTTCCATGGTACCTGATCCCTCCTCTGATGTTTCGGAGGTCTGTGTTTGCTCTGCTCCTATTTTGTATTGTTTTATGGTTTTTTGATCTCGAATACTGTTCGTTATCTCTTCATATTTCATGTTCCAATATTACTTTCTGCGGAGCATGAGGTCATCAAGTCGAAACTATATACAGTTGTATATATACCCGGTATATCAGAACTATTTATTGGATATCGACCGCATTA